TGGTTTTTTTTTTGAAAATATTCATCATTCGAGGCTGAATCCGAATATGTTATTAAAAATGTTCCATGTCTTAACAGTGATTTTTAAACCTGTTTTATCAACTTGGGGTCCGGACGGACCCCAGGTGTGCAACAAGTGATAGTCCTATAGGTGGGCGGATGAGGGTTAAAGACTTGGCCATTTGTCAATTTGAAATCAACTGAGTCACTCGTATTCATAATGTTTAATGTGTATGAACAAGCGAAGTATTTTAACGGAATGGTATTTTAAGAGAACGGCTGTTACTATCTACATGTAGACGGTGGATATTTTATCACTATGGTGGAGAAAGTAGGTATATATATTCTGAAGAAACGAGTAGCCGCTATCAAGCAAATTAATCAGAAAAACATCGAATTATAGGCCACGCTGTACAATAACAAAATATAAATCAAAATTCGACAGATCTTAGAGAGGAAAACGGTCATTAGATAAAGTAAAAGAAAAGAAGGGATAACAGATTCTTCTGTTTCTTCTTTTCTCTATTCTTTTGTTTCTAACGAGCTTCTTCTCTTCCTCATTCTATTTCTACTTATTCTCTAGGACATATTAATAGAGAAATGACGATGAGAAAAAATACGATTTGAAGATGTCATGATACGCTTTCCAAAAAAAGAGGAATTTTGAAAATTTTGGGAAGAGAAAGCCGGAAAGTCATGGTAGTCAAAAGAAAAAAGTATATTTCAAAACTTAATCACCGATTTACTTGAAAGTGCAGGTGTATTCTAAAACGTAGAAAACATTGCTTTTGTATCTATCGCCTTATTTGTAACGGAAAAGTAACTTTGTCCAAATAATATTTTACATCAGTCAGAATCTCCTCCTTTATCGGTTCCAATAATCTGTTTCGCTTCGAAATTAAAATATTTGTTTATTTACAATATACTTAAGAAGAAAATGATGTTGTTCTACAAGAGCATCTACATTAAAAGGTACATTTATCTAGCTTCAGCTAGCTGCACAGAAATACATGAAAATTTCATCTAGCTTCAGCTAGATTTAAGATAGTTTCAATTGGCTACAACTAGTTGCTATCGATTAATCGGGTAATTCATTGCTCGATTAATTGGCTTCATGTAGTGGCCGTTTCAGCTAGTACACAATTTAAACCAGCATGCAGCTAGATAAATGTACCTTTTAATCTGGTTAATCTAGCTGTAAGTGGGCGCTGCAGCTACTCTGCAGCCAGATTTTCTCGCTTACTTAGTTTGTGGGCTGCTTGTAGACCGAATTTACTTCCACGTATCTGACATGACTGTAGGAAGAAAATGAAGTTCGAAAAAGAAAAATATGTAAGATGGGAATGCAGGGCACGACATGCTACTTGTTTTTATAAATCCCGCTTTTTCCAACTGATCTCTAAAAAAATGCGCTACTCGAGATCCTCTTTTTTCTATAAAGGTCAGATTCAATTCGAACTCTATAAGTCGTAGAAAATAGAGCAGGTCGAGGTTTATTCACGTATGAAACAGTAGAATATAGACTACTGATCACTAAAGAATCTGATGAAATTGTACTGTATCCTTCCTATAAGATTCTTATGAATCTTATGAATTCTTATAAAATAATTATATAATCTATCTTACCGAATTCTTATCAGAATCTTAGAAGATTCTTATATTTCTTCTTATAAGAATCTTATCAATATCTTACGCATTTCCATCGACTGCCTTATATAAAATTCTTATAAGATTTCTATAGAATTGCCGAAAAAGAAAAAAAAGAATATCCTGTTCTATGCGGTTGCTATTCAAACAACAGCGACTGAGTGCGGTTCCAGTTTAATCGAGATTCAATGCCAAATTAACAAACACGGTTGAGAGCGGATGTAACTGCGGTTCAACGCGGTTGGGTAAGCAACTACCCAGTCACCTTTTTGTTTTGTGGAACGATTCAGTATATAAGGATACACAGGTTTTCTTCATTATCAAACATGTAGTTTAGAATTTTTTCAAGTCATTGTGGAAAGATAGAGGTGAACCAGAGAAAGATGTTCGCAGTAAATGTGTGAAATTCCCTTTCCCTTTTGAAAGGGAGCAGAGCTGGTCTCGCTCTCAAAAGAGACGGACCAAAGCTCAAAACCAAGAGCGACACAACCGCAGTTTTTGGCGGTTAGAAGCGTTCTTGTTTAGAAAAAAACTTCATGAGTATTTTTCTTAAACCAATTCAAAAAAACTATTCATGCATTTCAACGAGTTCTTCTCGTCGTAGCAAACTATCGTAAGAGGGTTCTACTAAGTATTGAGATAAACTGTTTATTCTTCTATGTTCTTGTCACATAGAATGTGGGCGTCGTGTACGCTTTATTAATAATAGCATAAAGGACAGCAGAAATTGAAGAGCAAAATAATCAAACGGTGAAGAAAATGATTTAATTGCAGTTAACTCAAAATAGCGGAATATAACGTCGACTTACAACACTAATCGTAACCAGTTTCTAGGCTCACATCATACGTCACAGTGAGATATAAAGTAATAAAATTCATAGTAAAAGTGATTACTGCAAAAAGCTTTGTGTTATCGTAAAAAATGATCTCCATCGTTACAAAGAGCTCGAAAACCTCCAGTAGCATCACAGAATTAAAAAGAATTCGAAGCTTTCAGAAAGTGTTACATATGATCAATAATATATGCTCTTTCAGAATATGTTTTTAGACATGCTCCTATTAATAGTTAACGATAAAATGTCAAATATTCACGATTGAAGGCGAACATGTTCAAAATCCCAGTAGAAAATTTAGTAATTTTGCTCTTGTATCCTAACGAATCTTAAATTCAACTAGTAACATTACAGAACATGCAACTTTTTTTGTACTCTGTTGAATGCGCAGAATGGAAAGATCAAAAAACAGGTGCGTCAAGGCCAAAAAAGGAAAAATTACTGCTGAAATTGGTCAACATACCAGATATTTCAACATTTTCGTGATGAAACATTTTCTTCCAAGTTTCTCTACGATTCTGCGATATTCAAAGGCTTCGTATTAAATTTGATATGAGATTTTTTCGCTCACAACTAAGACACAGAGCCTTTCACGATTTCTCTTGAAAACGAAAGCCTGAACCGTATTTTTTCTTTAATACAATATTCAGAAAACCTTTTTCAGTCATTAGAAAAATGAATAAACATCATCTGTGAGTTATTCATTAGATAAAGTGTTTTCTCGTTTCATTCAACCGTTAGGAAAGAAACAAGAATGGAATTATTATTGAATTATATATGTGAACCTCCATGTATTAATCCGATCTATAATCGTTTTTATGATAATCCTATAATTCCAAATATATTATAATAATAAAAAAAACAAGTTATAATAATTATTGAAATAAAACAACAAGTATTAAATAACATTGCTCATTTCCAATTAGAACGATTAGAATCATTATCATGTGACCATGAGAATCGAACAAATAAAAGATCAAAGAGGCGTGTAATGTATGAAGAATGATAGATGCTAATTTCTCGCTTCTTCTTATAATTATAGTTCATTATCAACTGTTTATGTATTATCATCACGTGACACAAAATTAGGTCTTCCAGTTCAGCCTGTTATAGTATCACAAACAATAAATATAAACAAAAGAAGTTCTGCAAGTCATATTTAATCAACTAGAAAAACTTCAATGGAAAGATATAAATGGACGTTATCAATATAATAAAAATTCTGATATACACAAACAAGAATGTCAATTAATATATCAACAGTTAACATCAAATAAATTGTTATCATTATATAATTTTACACCTGAAACACTGCTGAGACGTATTAACCAAACAATAATTAATCGTGATAGTTCTGCTCAAATAAGAATTGAAAAATACAATAAGAAAAATTGTATTGTCATTTGTGATGATGAGAATAATGGTGAAGGAGAAGAGCACATTAATGGTACTGACGAGGATGAAGATGATGACGACTAATTACTATAGACAAGAGACGTGCTATTCTTACCTTTGAAGAGAAGTTTATCTAAAATATTTCATTATTGATGCTAACTTTCGTTTTTGTTATTTTTTTGCTTTCGATATCTTGTTAAGCGCTTGGGCTGTTACAAAAAGGGTTGGTTCACAATAAACACAGCCATAAACCAAAAAAAGAAACTTTAAGAATACAAATTCGTAAGAAAAATGTTACATTTCAGGAAAGGTATAGACATGTTGATTTGAACTAAATCGAGAGTTATACCAATAGGGCCTATATATTATCCGAACCATGCACTATACTACATTGACTAAACAAGGTTAAAATAAGGCCAAGTGCATAAAAGAAAACAACACAAAAAGCAAGGACGAGTACCAGGATGATTTCTCTCTGTTACTTGACCTCTTTATCGTGAATAAAGGCTAGTCATGATAACAGCGCGAATTTATGAGTCTTGAATAGCTTTATGACGCGTTTGTTGTAAAAGTACTGTCCTGCTTTCAGTCTTTTAGCAGGGTGATAATAGTCCCAATAAAATACATCTTCTAGGATAGGAGAGTTGCACAAATCAGAATCGTAGAAGCGCATAATCTCCTTTTTAAATAATTAACAACATTGTAATCTAACTGTTCCTTCCCACATAAGTCAAAAAGTTCCACACTATCGGCGTACGGATACCTATACATAAGGCGAAGTCCCACCCTGAACTTTCGGTTTAACACTAGAACGCCCGTAGCGGTCATTTTGACCGTTTTGTGATTTTTATCCTTAATAAAACAAACTGCATAAAATAAATTATGTCATAACTTTTAATCTGTCCCACAAAAATTATTTTTTGCAGAATTTTTAATTCATTTTTGAATTCAGAACCATTTTTAAGTATAAAATTTTCAAAAAACACAGTAACGGTCAAAATGACCGCTTTGGGCGTTCTAGGTCATGAAAATTTCCCGGCGTTCTAGTGTTAAAATTTGGACGAGGGTGCTAAGAGGATATAAATTGGAAAGAGCAACCAGAAAAACGGAAATGAACACGTGAAAAAACATAGGCGCCTTAACTTATTTGAACCTTGTTTACATTTTGATATCCACCTTAATTTAACAAAGGATTATTGACTTTTTTCTACCGCGTCGTTTAGAGCCGATTTTGGGGCAGTTTATCTGACCAACTGAAACCTAGAAACTTAAAAGTTACGACTTACTATAATAACTGATGACCCGCCATTGACAAGGAAATACAGGGTCTCTTAATCTGGGAATGAAATATCTGAAAAACAGTTTTACTATAATTAATCGGTTGTTCATGGTCCATCGAATGCTGAAGAATTCTTTTGGAAAGATTTCACTGAAAAGTGAATCATCTTAAGAATAAGAAACATAAGGAATATCTCTTGAAATAATGCTCCATCATCCATCTGATATTAATTAAGCTAATATCAAAATAGTTTAGGTTCTTTTATGCTTTTAGCTGAATTGGTGAATATTCTAACTTTGTCCATAGAAGCCTACACGTAAGCACTACATACGTTAGACAGATTAAGTTTA